ATAAACTATATTTTTGATAGCACAAGCGTATCTGCTTTTTACTGCGTTGTAACTAAAATACAAACTTATCTCACACATTTACCTGTCTGCCTATCTGACTACGCTACACATTCTGTTTAGTTTGTTTTCCTTAACACTCGTTGGGGAATTCAGGCTTAACAGTCCGCATCATGTGCCTTCCCGCCTGCTGTTGATGCTGCCACCGTGCCTGCTGCTTGGATAGCCAGCCCAGTGGTGGCAGCAGGCTCCGGAGCCACAGAGTGTGCCAGCTGAGGGAAAGGGTAGCGAGCGCGCATCCCCACCCTCACCTCACCTCATGGAGACCCCTGGATTCCCTCCCCAATCCTCCCCGGGCCCCACAGGTGCCCCTCTTCATGAGTGATGTCGAGCTGGGTATGCCCCACCCAGTTGCTGCGACCACCCCAGCCCCTCTCCTCCCCTCCCACCCCAACCCCCTGAGGACAACCACATTGCTAATACAGCCCTCAATGAAATCGAATTTGACACTCCTGATATAATTCATTATTTTCAGGAACTGTCACTGATTTTCTAGGGATAGAAATCCCTGTTTGATTTCCTAGGAACAAATTTTTATATAAAACACAGGTGGTTCAAAATGAATTATATTCACAGGAGCTTTTGACTATAATGTAAATGTTGTACATTGTATATTTCAAAATGGTTTAGAAGCTCATTTTATATTTGGCTTCTTCACTCGTAATCTCAAATATTGGTCCACCAAATACATTTCAGCTGAAGTGAATTTGGTTCCTTTCTCTATTGACACTATTCTGTGCTCAAAGAAACAGCCTGACACATGGATATAATAGCATTTTAGCATTCTCTACCATCCTAGTACTTATCTATCATTATTTGATTCTTTCAAGTGAATTGATTGCTTTTTCTAAAAAAAAATTCACAATGGGCATTTATGACAGTTGTGTATAGTTCTGAATTGAGACACACATGTAAATGGAAATGATGCAGTCATGATTCATCAACATGTTTTAAATAACTGCTTATGTCAATTTCAGCAACCCATCCCCTGAATAGATTGCGACATGAATTATTGACCACTTGTTCTAATCCCCTATATTTAATTCAAGAAAAGAGCTGGTAATTACCTTGAAGTTTTTTTTATGGGGGAGGAAGCAATAACCCATTATTTTATACCCATCACTGAACAAGTGTTCCTTCTATATGGCTAGCAGCCACTTCTCAATTTTTCAATCCCTTTGTATCACTGTGTGATACTGCAAATATTTTCAGTTTTGCTTCCTTAAGCTGCCCAGCACTCCCACCAGCTGGCCAAGAGGAGCACTAAAATGTCAGCTAGCCAGCACCCTTTCCTTATTCTTCTTTTAATTATTTAAAAACAATTGTGGGGCAAAGGTGCTTTCAAGCCACAGAAAACATTGTGGGGAAAACAAAACACAGCAGCACTTTGGGGGCCCAGGGCCTGTTTTGTTGCATTACTGCCTTCCAACATGGAATCACCATTCCAAAACCACAGTGGAAGGTATAGCAAATATGTCAATAAAGGGAGTTTGCTAGAAACCTTATACCCCAGAATTTAGATTGCTGTCTCTCTTGCAATCTACTGAACAGTATTATAACATTCTGTATTGACTTGGCCATTTGTGCATCTTTCATACGTTTGGGCCCCTTACACAAAGCAGATCAATCCTTTTCTTAATAAAGTATTAAATTTGAATCTGACCTGTTTTTTAAACAGGGTCACTTTTTTATTATTGGTGGTAATATGAAGCTTTCTTGGCGCCGTTTTTCACCTGATCTTCCGAACCTGTCCCGCATAGCAAAGCAAGTGGGATAGGTCTTTTATTTCCTGGGCCCACGCACTTCAAGTCTCCCCAAACGCTGTCAGCTTGTCCGATCCACGCTGAGCCAGAAATGGTGGGGAAACCTTTCCAAGAAAACAATGATTAAAGGCTCAGAAATACTTTTAATTAAAGAGATCCTGTACCAGGGGAGGGAAGGAGAGCCGAGGGTGGGCGAGTAGATGGGCCGGATCCAGGCACTAGCCTGGGGCGACTGAAGGGGCGGGAGCTAAGATGTCCTAAGGGAAGGGAGAGCCAGCTGGTCTACCAAAGGGAGCAGCACCCCTTCGGAAGACTCGCTCTCGCTCTCCGCCCTCCTCCAGTCGACTCCCTCTCGTGTGAGAAGGCACTCCATGCTCCTCCCGCCGAGGGAAGCGGGAGTTCCAGGAAGTAGTAGATAGGCGGGTAGGACGGCTTGAGAGCTCTGTTGGCAGTCGGTCTCCTCCACCTCAGAGCCAGGGACTCCTTCCTTGAGGCGGGGCAGTCTCCCGCCTCAGCCCCCTTTTAGGGAGGAAAGGAAGGAAGGAAATAGGGAGGGGCGGAAAGAACAGAAGCAAAGAGGAGCCTCTTCTATACTGGGGTGGAGAGAGCGAGCGAGCGCGACGGCGGCTCCTCGCGGGAACAAAGAGGCGCGAAAACGCGAAGGCTGAGGGGAAAGGGGGCACTCCTCGTCTCGCTCCAACGGCCGCGGAGATGGTGAGTTCTGGGAACGGGAAGCGGAGGGCATGTTGATCGCGAGTAGCCTCTCCCGATTCTTAGCACCTGGAAGCGGTACTTCGCGCCGGGCCGCAGCGAGGCTCTGCGGTGGCGACGCTCTCCTTGGATAGTTCTTTCCACGGGCGTTTAAGGTTCGCGACTCCAACCTTGGGTCGTCCACCTTTGGTGGTAACGAGACACAGCCACTAAACCTCGGTAGAGACCGCGTTAGCCCTCCAGCTGTCTCCTGGCAAGGCGTGTATTTCCCGAGAAACGGCAGGGTCTTGTCTCGCCTCTCGCTTGGGGAGATAGGTTTGGTCTCGGTCGTATGCTGAGCAGCACATCACTATAACGCAAGCTAGGCACGTATGGGAAGCCATAATGTTTAATTTACACTGTCCAGGTTTTCAGAAGCACGGCTTTTTATCCTGTTACATTTTGTTCCATTATTGCTGCTGCTGCTGTTTTGTTTCACCCAAAATAAAAATTATTAGCATCTTTCCTATATGCATTGGAAGCAGTTGAAGGATTTCCCCTAGATTATTTGGCCTTGTAGTGAACTCTTAGTGAAGTGTCTATTTGATGGTTCTCATCAAATCTTAAGGCATCATCATCTTGCTCTATGTTAGCTGCTGTCCTTTGCTAGGAACCTTCTGTTATTGGCTCCTGTGTAGATATATATTTTAGAAGGGACAACTGGAAATAATTTAACATCTCTCTGTCTATACAATGAATGTATTTAAAGTAACCTTGCCAATGAGAATAATTTAATTTTTATCAGAGTGCTGAAAAGTAATCATTTGCTGAGTGTGTTTAGATTTCTGTTAAATATTGCTCTTGCAATTTTCATCAGATCAACCCATGTTGATGCCTTACTGGAGTACAATATAATGTCTCCAATAGCACATCAATCTTATTCTTTTGGATGAAAGTTCTATTAGCTTCCCTATTTTTTCAGTGTCATTTTTTAAAAATATTTTATTTTATTCTAGAAAAAACATTTATTTGACATACATTTAAAACAGACAAATCAACATATATATAATATATACATATACAAATATCTACATATACATAAATTTTGTAATATATATTGAGCAATGGTTAATTTTTTTTCTTTTATCTTTTTTTCTTCAATCTTATCATTGATGTGATCTGCCTTGTTACCATAACTCCTTCATTCTTTTAATGTTTTAATTTCTCCATATAGTTTGTGATTAAATGTACATCTTCTGTCGTTTTCATAACTTATCCAAAATATAAAATATTACCTTTTCTTTAACCACTATGGTTAAAGTGGTTCAATGTCAATTTTAAGAGATAATTGTTAATTATAGTATGTTGATTCTAGTAATAGAATGTCTTTTTGTTTTAAGGCCAAATTTTGATGATCAAGTTGTTTCTTTTTCATAATTTACATTGAAGTTTCAGATACTGTATACAGATTTTAAAATATATGTTTATTACATTACTTTTGTTTTAAAAAGGGAAATGACTTAAATTCCATATTTGAAAATATGAAATGAAGATTGCTAGCAGCAGTAATTAATGTAGACTGTGTAAACTTAAGAGTTTGAAAGTTAATGATACTGTGATCTTGGCCATTATACTAACTTCTTCTGTTAAAAGGCATAACAATACCTTGTAATGATGCTATTTCAGTTAAGAAGGCACTAATAAGATTTGTCCTTTTAGATCCCTAGTGTCCAACATTTTGTCATTATAGGAGCTGTAGAGAAAGTTGATATAAAAAAACTATTATGGAATTTATTCTCAAAATACATCATGTCTCCAGATAAATATTAAAGCAATGAAGCCTGGACTTTAGACAAGAACACTGAAAGCATTTTTGTTTATAAAAACTTTTTTTTTAAAGTTTGATTGATTTGTTAGGCTGTCTCAAAAAAAACACAATTTTTCCTATGTTGGAATGCCATTCTCCATTTTCGTTTGTATTGATGTTTTTTTTTCCCTTTCTCAATTTTCAGAAAGAAGAGTGAAAAGGCATGGATATAACATGAATTACTTAACAAATTCAGAAAAAATAGGAATTATTTCTCAGTTAGCTAAATAAAATGGATGAGTCGGTCTTATTGGATCTGTTGGAGTGTCCTGTCTGTTTAGAACGTCTGGATGCTTCTGCAAAAGTCTTGCCTTGTCAACATACATTTTGTAAAAGATGTCTCTTGGGCATTGTGAGCTCACGCAATGAGCTTCGTTGTCCTGAATGTAGGACATTAGTAGACTGCAATGTTGATGACCTTCCTAATAATATTTTGCTTGTTCGACTACTAGATGGCATCAAACAAAGGCCTCAGAAATTGACTAATTTAATGACATGCACAAATTTATTAAGGGCCCAAACTAGCACTGTTGCTAATTGCATTCAAAAAGACCTACATAGTTCTCAAAGTGTCCAGCAACAGAGAGTACAAGCACGAAGTCCACCTGTTAGGGTAAGTGACCAGTATGCTAAAAATATAAATGAAACCATAGTTTTGGGGATGTTTGACCATCCAAGAAAAGTAGAATTATGGTGTGATGATGTTCATTCAGAGGGCTCACCTAGAAAATTCAATAGTATTTTAGCTTAATGAAAAGAAAATTAGACATAATTTTAAATACTGTATTTTTCGGAGTATAAGACACACTTCCAAAACAGTGGGTGGAAATGTCTGTGCATCCTATACATCAAATATTGTGTTGGAGAGGGAGGGGGATTGGTGTGGCACCGATCAGCTGTTCTAGAACGGGCCATGGCGAATGGGTGGCAGCAAACGGTCCGCTGTGAATGGTTCATGGGAAATGGGCTGTGGCGGCAGCGAACGTGCCACGGTGAATGGTCCACGCTGGCAGCAGCAAATGGCCCATGGTGAATGGACAACGGCAGCGGCAAATGGGCCAGATGAATACTAGATAGATGCTGGGAGTCAGGCAGATTTTTTTTCTTCTTTTCCTCCCCAAAATCTAGGTGCATCTTATACTCTGAAAAATACGGTATATGGGGGGGTCACATGGAGCATTGACTGTACTAGTGCTTTGTTGCTTCTGAAAGCAATGGGGGAATCTAAAAGTAAAAATTGAAGGAAACACATTTTGGTTAAACTTTAGAAAATATAATAGAATTGTTCGTTTATTGATGGAATTTATTTCTATGGCTACATTGTTGAAAGGAGTAAGAAAATAATTGGATGACTATCTTCTAGGGATGTTGTAGCTTTCTTGCATTATAGATCTTACACTCAATGCTACAGCGACTGTTAGAAGCAATAATCCAAAATACTTATTGGTAATAGCATCTGCAGCAAAATGATGCCAACATGACTATACATGCACAATATCATCATGGAAATACTGCCATTAGGTACTTGCAATCCAAAGCCAGACATAAATATTTAAGTTGTGACATTTGCATGATGTTTATTCCTTGTCATTTGCCCCTGCAGAATAAGCAATTGCCTGTATTAGATTAATATCCCTGGATTACATTATCACCAATACATTCCTTCCTAAATAACATTTATTGGTAGCTGATAAAAAAATCCTATGTTTCTTTAGCATAGGAATGCATTGTTTCTTGTGCCTGCTTTCTCTCCCTGAACTGAGGATGCTACAAACAACTGTTCTTCCACATTTTGCATTTCAATTTCAGTATTTTATGTGAACTGCTTTAGTTACACTTAATAATGAAAAGAATATTAGAATGCTTTGAAAAGAACCTATTCATTCTTTCTGTGTATGGGTGAGGGGGGCACTCTTTTTTTAGGCTACAGTTCTAAAATATTTGTTAAATTTTGGAAACAAAACAGGTTTAGGCCTGAAATGGAAGACCTCCAAGAAATATCAAGGTTATAGGAAGAACCGGAAATTCAAAACATTTTGCCACTTTATGGGATGTTGTTAATGCTTTCCATATAAATAAAGTTAAAATATATGTTTTCACATGGTATTTGTGCAAAAGTTCAGTTCTTAATATTATACCTTGCCAATTAGTTATGTGTAATTTTCTGTAGTTTTTTTCTTGGCTTTAATTGTCTAAGCTAAAAATTACATTTGTCAGATTCCTGCCTCTCAGTTTCTGGTGACTAAAGACATTTCAGATGTTTCTCTAGAACAGTTGAGGAAATCAATCAGCCAACAAAGTCTTTAAATTTATTGTCACACAACAAAGATACTTAATGCAAGAGCAACAAAATTTCTGACTGTTTCTAATGTTGGAAGAAATGTCCATCTGGGTTCAGTTCCAAATGGAAAGAAAGACACTGGAAACATGGAGATTGCTTGGAAAGATGGTTTAATGGTGGACAGCAGAACCACATGATTCGAGGTCCTGGGCAAAAAAAAGCACATGGGTGAGAGAGGAAGAGAGATTTATAACCTCTGTGGGCTTTGAACTTGCTTCCTGTTCCTGTGGCAAGAAATATATCCTGATTTGTTGTCAGACTCCCAGGCACCATGCAGGGTTAACTTTGTAGGTTGTCTTCTTGAGTCCCAAGCCTGGTTGAATCTTGCTAGGTGATGTAATCTTCCCAGGTGAAGTGGGTAGAAGGCTGATCCTATCATGTCCTGAGGGCCATGTCTTAATCTCATCACCCTGGAGCGAAAGGTCTTTTGTGTTGTAGATACGTCTTTTGTCTTTCTGGAGCCATTAACAAAGGTGGGGACTGCTTTCCAAGAACAGATTTCTCAGGTATATTCTGCCTTTTTAATATTTCCTAGAATATTTCATTCTTCTGGGGAGGGGTGGGTGCTCACTAGGATGCTAGTTAGTTTTTCATGTATATCCACTTATTCTTTTAATTTAGAAAAAAAACACCTAATATACGAACTGTTCCATTAAAGTTGTATAGTTTCATTTAAGGACTTAAATGTTTTGAATTCCATTAAATATGAATAGTCAATACTCATATTCTTATACTGAGGCTTGACTTAATTTCATGACAATTCATAACCCTGAACGTATCAAAGTTATTTGTTTCAACTTTATCCAGAAATTTCATAAGATGATTTATATCATTTTATTTTTGCTTAGTGGAAGGTCAGATTAGATTCCTTAAAAAGGTTTGCCTGTCATCCAGTAATATTTGCATGTGCACTGCCTCTGGGTATAGTTTGAATTTGCTGTGCAGTGATTAAGTGCTTCATCAGTTTTGAAGAATGCATTGTAGTTAGACTGAGAAATAGTTCAAATAATATAAGGAGTGAACAGAAACTTAAAAGCAAAGTATTTAAAGTATTTTTATTTAGTTCCTTGACTTTCCCAAACTTAGAACATAGACTGTTATATCCTGTAGAGACTAGCTCCCCAAGATGTTGGTTGCTAAGAAAAGGAAAAAAATCAATTAAATTTTCACCCATTATCTCTAAACAAACTTATGGTTACAATCCTTATATCTTTTCCCTGTTTCTCCATTTCTTGTTTCTGTCTTTTACAAGGGATTCTGCAAAGGTATATAAGATAGCTTTGTTATATTACAAATAGAAATAACTTTAGAAAATATGATGATGAACTACAGGGAAAAATTTGCTTAATAAGAAAAGATAATGTGAAATTGTAACAGGACAGACAAAAGTATAAATATAATGATTTGAATTGAGATAATTAAAACAAAGTTGAGAAAATTAGAAGAGGGGGGAAACTATGTAGAAAATATAAAATGGTAATAAGATATGGAATAGAATATAAAAATGAACATGAAATTGAGTTTTGTGTCTGTATGAAGAAGTGATAACCTGGGACCATGCTATTTTCAAAAAAGATGTTTTATTTGTATTTTGTTTTTGTGAAAACCCAAATAAACTTTTCAAAAAAAAAAGGAAAGGAAAAAAAATCAAAAACTGTAAGATCCTTTTTATATTATAGTGTAGCAGAGGTAAGCAATGTGAAGTGTTGGATTACAACTCAAGTTCCCACTAGCATGAGTTGGATCAGGGGTATAGGAATTGCAATCTAATATAAATAAATGCCTTGCATATAATTTGTCTATACCTTTATTTCATTGTAATTTATCCAAACAATGTAATTCCAGTGCCAGGCCAAACCTGATAAATGTGTCTTATTTAGAAACGTTCTTTTGAATATTATATTGGGATGTGTTTTACTTTTCACCTGCCTTGTATCTAAATTGTGAGCCTTTCAATAACAGTTGTCCTCCATGATAGATCATGTCAAAGACATTTATTTAAGCCTTCTACAAGCATTCAAGATTGCCCACAAAGGAAGAGGTGTTTTTTTTTCTGAAAAAAAATTATAATGAAAATAAGCTTTAAAAAAGCAATTCTAAGAATCAAAAGTAGTCAATTTAACCAGTGTTTCTCAGTTTTGGCAACTTTTATACGTGTGGTCTTCAACTTTGAGAATTCTCCAGCCAGCATGCTGGAGAAGAAGCCCAAGAAACATCTGTTTATACAACCTGCTTGTTGTAACATTCTGCTTATACAAATGCTATGTGTTTCTAAAAAACCCAACTGTTTTAAAGAGTTTAGTGTTCTATGCAAATAATTAAAGAGTCTAACTTTTTCAAAACTTTTAGAGAAAAATAAATAGTGCTGACTATTTCACTATTTGGAATCTATTCTGGAACACTAATCAACATTTATTCCTATATGCTTTGCAGAAAAGGAAGTGCAGTTTCATTTTTATTGTGATTAAGTGATGTAAATAAGGGATATGTTTAGCCAATATTAAATTGCTATACTACACAGTTCTGCTTAAATTAAACGTCTTTCAGAAAAAATGTATAGCCTTTTAAAGTCTAATTTATCAAATAGTATATAGCCAATAAGAATATTTTATAGAGGTTAATTGTTATATGTCTTCATCAGGTCAGTTCAAACTAGTTCCTTTGAAATTGAGAATTTAATTCATGCTTTTTCTTCTCCTTTTTAACAGCTTGTCTTTTCTCTTTAGTTCAATTAGAGATCTAATATCTTCCATTTATTATTGTATTTTAATTTTAATTTCTACCTCAGATCTATCATACAGTATTTTATGAATCAATAATGTTTTGAGATAAAATAGAGTGATTATTTTTAGTATTGGCTATGTTAGGAATTATGCTTGATTTCGTAGGAAATATCCTGATTTGTGAATTAGCTCACATATTCTGAATACCTGTAGGGATTCCTCATACCAGCATCCATATAGGTATGAAGGATGTATATGCTTGAAAGTGGTGAACACTTTCCTCATTGCTTTCTTGTACAAACAGCACCAGTATCACATGATTGCTATGATGTCATTCATATAAAGTTCAAAAAGAAATAAATGTTAAGATTTAGTCTCATAAATTGAAATAATGCTGGGGATTAGCATTGTCTCAAAATACCTCTAAAGATTATACAAGTGAGAAAATTCTTAAGCATGTACAAATTGTTCGCCCATCTCATATTTAATTTAGAAGTTTTTGGACGTGTTGATGGTAATATTTGTGTCAAAATTTCATGGACAGCAGCC